TTCAAGACCAGTGAATAAACCAACTGCTTTTTCCCTAAGGAAATCTAAAACTCAAGGTCAGCTGTGTCTGAAATCACCAGACCTGTCACATGGCTTTCATAGCTGCCACTAAGGCTCCTATCAAACCTATACTGAGAGCAATGAAAACATTTTTACTGGAAACAGATCAAGCTCTGATAAGAAGCTCTCTAACCACCTTTGGCTCTTAACACTGTGCAAAGCGAAAGGTGAAGTTTTGAAGAAGAGAAGAATGAACGAAGAACTTGAGGTCAAACGTATTTGATCTTTTCCTTGAGTTTCTTAATGTTTGTGTGTTAGAGAATAAATATGATTCTATAAATATGTGAATACATAGTTTGCGTACATAAGAATATATACATGCGCACATGCTTTATAAATATATTTTTGTAAACATAAAGAAACACAGGTTGTCCTGTCAGAATAATGCACATAATTCTATTTTATCCCAGTGCCTGTCCTCCAGTAACAAAATTTTGGTGGTCTCATTCATAGTCCCTCGGGTGTAGGAGTCCATCACAAAACCACCACCCTTAATATAATACAATCAACAGTCTCTGCTCAAGAGAGACAGAAGAAGGAGTTGCCATGGAGACTGAACTATTGTGCTTCTCCAGAGGATGCTTTTTTCAAGCATGGGATGAACAGTGGAGTCCATGCAATACCTGTAACCTTGATCACATCACAGGATCTTGCTTTTTGGGATGGCTTTTTAGTAAACTGTTACAAACATCCAGGAGATAAGAGGGGGGTGTGCGGAGGGAAGAGAGAGCTTAGGAAAACAAACAACCCCCCCAAAAAAATTAAACAAAAACAATAACAAACTCCAGTATGAAAGTGAATATTATGCCAGACAGAGAAGGGAAAAGAGTTTCATATTGATTTGATTTATCAGATTTGTCACCTCTGCCTAGTGCTTTCCTAACAGGGTGAATGCTGTGCTTGACCTGTTTGCTGGAATTAACCAGGACTGCAGGAGACCATATGGATTGCCAGATGGTCTGCTATAATTTAATGCCATTTATTCTAAGTATGAAGTAAGTGATAAACATAATTAACATTCTTCTAGCTCCTTACTGGATGCTTTTTATTAGGTTTTTAGTTTAGTTTCTTTTTTTTTTCCCCAGGAATTGAAAGGTAAGTTAATACCTTGTTACTGAAACACAGATGCCAGCTAATTACTGCAAGAGGCTGCAGCCTCTAAAGCAAAGAGTGTCTGCACAGACTCCAACTTATTCACTGACCCCACTGTGATGACTAATAGGTTGAATGCTAAACTCTAATGAGGATGACAGATCTTAGATGTTTTCAGGTTACCTTAATTAGCAGTAAAATGAACAAAGTTTGTCACAGACATACCTATAACACTTCATAGTAAACAATGCACCTTGTACTCATGGTCCAAACGCGTATTTCACATTACAGCACATCAAATGCTAAGGAATCAAACCACCTTGAGACAGTAAAAACAATGGAATGACTTCCTTCAGAAATGTTTTTCCTGATTGCTATTTCATATTTTGCCAGTGATTGTCTAAATGGCCTATCTTTTAGGAAGTAGTTCTAGAGAAGCTATGGCTTCAAAGAGTGTTTATATCAGGCAGGGTTGTCATTCTCAGCATTTTAAAACCACAAGTCTGTAACAAGATACCTAAACAACTTTGCCTAGTGTTTCTGTACTGATAATCTTCACAGTGACTGGGGTAGGTGTTAGCAAGATGAACCGTAAATCATTTCGTAATTGTTAATGTCAACGTACACATGAACTTAGTATGCTGGTACCCAGAACAGTAAAAAGTAGTATTAGAGAAAAGGCAGAAGCACTGAATGCTTTGTATTGTACATGAAAAGCTGTGTTCATTGAACAGATAAAAATGACCGCAGCTAAACATCCAGACTACCAGTATCTGAAGGGTGCCTACAAGAATGCTGGAGAGGGACTCTATCAGGGACTGTAGCATTCACGGATGGGTGTTGGGACCAGTCTTGTTCAATACCTTTGTCAGCAACACGGACAGTAGGTTTGAGTGTACTCTCAGCATCAAGCTGTGTGGTTCACTTGATACGCTGGAGGGAAGGAATGCCATCCAGAGGGACCTTGACATGCTTGTAAGGTGGGCTGATGCCAACCTCGTGAAGTTTAAACAAGCCAAGTGCAAGGTCCTGCACCTGGGTTGGGGCAATCCCAGGCACAGCTACAGGTTGGGCAGAGAAGAGATTCAAAGCAGCCCTGCAGAGAAGGACTTGGGGGTGTTGGTCGATGAGAAAATGAACATGAGCCAGCTTCAGTGTGCGCTTGCAACCCAGAAAGCCAACCGTATCCTGGGCTGCATCAAGAGGAGCGTGACCAGCAGGTCGAAGGAGGTGATCCTGCCCCTCTACTCTGCACTCGTGAGACCTCACTTGCAGCATTGTGTGCAGTTCTGGTGTCCTCAACATAAAAAGGACATGGAACTGTTGGAACAAGTCCAGAGAAGGGCCACGAGGATGATCAGGGAACTGGAGCACCTCCCGTATGAAGAGAGGCTGAGGAAGTTGGGGCTGTTCAGCCTGGAGAAGAGAAGGCTGCGTGGAGACCTCATAGCAGCCTTCCAGTATCTGAAGGGGGCCTATAGGGATGCTGGGGAGGGACTTCATTAGGGACTGTAGTGACAGGACAAGGGGTAACGGGTTAAAACTTAAATAGGGGAAGTTTATAGATTAGGTATAAGGAAACATTGTTCTTTACTATGACGGTGGTGAGGCACTGGAATAGGTTGCCCAAGGAAGTTTTGAATGCTCCATCCCTGGTGGCGTTCAAGACCAGGTTGGACAGAGCCTTGGGTGACTTGGTTTAGTGTGAGGTGTCCCTGCCCATGGCAGGGGGACTGGAACTGGATGATCTTAAGGTCCTTTCTAACCCTAACCCTTCTATGATTTTACGATTTGCACCTGTAGTGCTAATAAAACTTGTTGAACACGGTTGTCAGAATGATAGCAGAAATGGATGACAGAAATGGCATAAATTAAATGTTATTCAAAGAGAAAAACAAAAGTACCTGTGCTATAAAGTAAATTTGCCTTTAGAAAATATAACTTTAATTTGAAAAAGTGGTGAAAAAGGGTCCAGGTCAAAAGTCACAGCATAGGGAATGCAGAAACAAATTCCAGCATTTCAACACTTGTGTTTTTCCCTTGTTACAGATGAGTCCAGCCCTTGTTCAGGGGCCTCAACAGTTACACATCTATATTCCACAGTGTGAATGCTGTTGCAGCCTTCAGAACCGACTACATTAGAGGGGATCTGAATGTGATGGGACATATCTGCTCTTTTACTTCACTCTTGATTGTATTAGTTCAAGATACTTCTTCACCTGTTGTATTTTGGTGAATCAGTTACAGCTGCCAGTCCTATAAAATCCTGTAGGATTCTCTACTAGTATATGAATAAGTTATGATTTTCTACTACTATGTGAATAGAAAAGGGATCAAAATATCTGAACAGCAAGCTTTTGTTGATATTGACACCACCCATCAAGATGCCTTTATAAAGTCCCCATCTCCCCCAGCATTTGAAAGAAGAATGCATTTTACTATCCCATTAACTGAAAAATATTTACCTGAGGTGCTTGAGCTAATGCTATGCTGACTGCAGGTTCATTTTTACAGTCAGAAGGGAAAAACAGCTAGAGAGAACCACCCAGGTAACCTGTTTCCTCTCTGTAGGTACATACCACTCTTCCCTGACTGCTAAAGGATGTAGGGTCATTTAGGTGTCAAAATGTAGGTGGGTTGAAATCAGAGATCAAAACAAGACTTCACGCTTCCTTCAATAGGTTGCTTACTGGACCTGGTAATACCACACTTTACTATTACACAGACAACACTTCTGAAAAATATTGGAGTGGTGCTCTTCAGGGACCAAAGATATTGAATTTCATTGTGCTACTGGCACAATATTTTCTGTTTCTATGTATATACATTTATACATTTGTATATATACATACACGCACATATACGTAACTGCATGCATTTGATTGCCTCATCATTGCAAACAGTCTGATATGTTCCAAATCATTACCTTGTAACATTCAAAGAAAGGGCAATGTCAGGCCTATTATAAAATAATTATAAAATAACATAGCCTCTTACTCAAACCTCAGAACTTGCCTGAAAAAGTGTTTTGCCTAAGTAACGGCTAGCTCCCACCAATACTTAAAAAAATAAATAATCTGAAAGAATGAAGAAATCAAGCAAACCCGAAGTCTTAGAATCTGATGGACACAAAACCTACCAAAGCAGGTTTGGCCCTTAGTACTTAAACACGGCTTTATACTTTAAAAGTCTTTTTCATCTGTCATGCTCTTTACATGCTTTCTCACAAGAAAAAAATATATCAGAGAATTTATATTCACTGTTCATTTCAGTCCCAAAGCTAATATTTTCTACATAATAGCTGTCATACAGATGACACATAGGAAACATCACTCTTGGCCTAAATGGAAAGTAGGATTTTATTTTAGGGGAACTAAGGACAAGACACAAAACCCCCCTCTACAAAGGAATATCTTTGTTTGACTAATGAACCCTCATTGCTATTATAATTTTCTGTGTTTAAGCCTCATTGTCTGACCTCCTGAGAGATCTCACAGAGGCAGTGGAAACTGACCAAATGTACCTGCAGCCCCAGGAGAAGTTACATGGACATTGATTTGTTGGAAACTGTTGACTCTCAGAAACTAAATTTGGGGTAAGATTGCTAAACAGAATTAGGCACAGGAACAAACAAAAGGCCCTAAGGGGAAAATAAAAAGGAAGAGAATAGAGAATACTTTAAAAAAGAAAGTAAACAGTGCTTTAATGATGATGTGGCTACCAGTAGTGTCTGTGTTTTGATAAATCCTTTGGGTAATAACAATAAAATCAGGCAGCAATTAAATACTTTAAGACCTTAGAAAAATAAAACCACTTATGATATTTGCAAATTTAACATTTTATCTTACCTCCTGCATACATGACAGCCAACATTATCGATGATATCCAAGCTATCTCACTATATGATGTGTGGAAGATTTCTTGTATTTCTTTGAAGAATACTGTGATGGCTTTCGGGAATGCATAGGAAAATCCAATGGAGATAAAAGCGCCAAAGACCACAACCCATCCCCAACCTCCATCTGGAGGTGGGTACTCTGGTGCTGCTGTTGCTGGTGGCATATTTGATCTCTGTCTCTTCTCCAATTAGGCTAAAAGAGAAAAGAAGACGCAAGGTTTTAAACAGCTTGCTTTTGGTTTGGTTTGGTTTGGTTTTGGTTTAGAAAACTACAGTATTCAATCATTATCTGCAGGGATAAGAAAGTATCCTCAGAGCAAAGACAAATGTCCAGCTTTATGGGACCACAGAACACAAGTACCTGTTTTTGAAAGCAAAATCTGTTCTGCAAAAAACTTGTGGAAGAATATTTGTAATATCCCATTCAGTATCTGACAACCGTTACAAATTACTGATCTCAGTCACTGAAGTTGTATTTGCAATTAGTCACTTTTAGGGAACTGATGTGTTTGTGTGGGTTAATTTACGTAGTTCTACTTTCTACAGCATGGATTTAGTACAGGAATGAAACAGAAAAAAAAATCAATTGTGGAAATTTGACTTACAGGAAACAACAGAAGAAAATTACAGTAAATTATCAGTAAATGTCAATGTGTTACCAAGATTTACTGGCACCTCAGAAAAATCATCACCAATAACAGTGAGGAGTAAATTCATTACATTTTTTTTTTGTCATGTGCTGTCATTATCCACTTGTTGATATTTGCTGCTTATCAAATAACAGCATCAAAAAGGTGGGTTCTAAGCAGAGATTTAAAATTCCCAGTGTATCCATAAAATAAATACAAAATCTTACAATCCCATATTGTACTCCTATTTTAAAATTTTTCATCTTCATTTAGTTATGTTGATATTACTTGCAGGAACAAGGTGAAGCTTGATGGTACTACTATTGCTCTGTTTCAACATGTCAGAAGACATCAGGAAGTCTTTCATGAATAACCTCACAAACTTTCCACAGCTATTCTCTGATTTAGAATTTGCCATAATACATGCCACCAGAGTGATATCTTATAGGAGTTATGAGAGGTGCAACCAACACGTTCAGGCAGCTCAAGAAATCACAGGAAATCCACATAAAACTCCTAAAGCCAGAAATAAATTTCATACTGTTATTATCATCCTGGCATCTAAAAACTTCAGCTTTCTACATTCTGTAAAATGTTTTTAGAAAACATGAAGTAGCAAGAATCCATTTTGTAATTCTGAGATTTTTCTAGTATCAAATCCCTTTACTATTAAACACAGAGCTGGAGTCCGCTGTGGTTTTTTTCTATGTAGTCCAGCCTACACAGATAGCTTGAAGTAAAATTTCTCATTCCTCCCCGTTTCTTTCTTAGGCACTTCAGCAACTTGTTACTCCTGATTGGTCTCCTGCCACACCAGTATCAAAAGCTGTGGATGATAACAGTGTGTGGGTTGCTGTTATGCTAATGATTAGCAGCTAGTCTCTATGTGATTTCTTCCGTGCCACTTATGGCATATTCCAATTTCTCGCAGCAAACTGCATTACCAGTGGGAGTGATATGATTACCTTAACAAAAACTAAAAAAACTGAACTGTGTCAGCTTGTATTAATCTCTTGGGATAGCGCCTTGAGTACTTTCAGGGTAAACACCATGTAGTACTGTGTGCAATATATTCCACAAAACTGGCAAAGTGTTGCTTTTAAAATTATCTGTCACTAGGCCAGCCCTGTGATAGAAATCCACTGTACTTCTGACTCTCCACTTTACTGAAGCTGACTCTAGACATTACCCTGATATTGGCAGACTCCATAGGGAAGCTAAATCAACCACTAACACATCTCACTCCTATGCAATGTTACAAAAGCCCAGGTAGTTTGACTTCTGCATCAGATAATATAGATTTTCTGCTGGCAATAGTATCTATTGTTCTGTACATACAGCATATAAATTTTTTTATATGCACGCCCAGAAAGAACCTCTGGCATGTACTTTGTTTCTGCATGGGCCTGCAAGTAGAAGATGGACAAGTATAGACAATTCTGGTTGCTGAGACTTAATTTTTGCAAAGAAGTTAAATACCAGTTTGTTTTGCTGGATCAGGACTCATTAAATGGAAGAGTATCTCAGAGAGCCCATAATACCTTACAACACCCATAGTGACAACTGATGGCCTTCAAAAGCACAAAACCTCAAATTAGCATGAAAAGCAGCAATTTGTTTCTGTGAACTGAGTGACAGTAAACAACAGTTTGCTATCTGCCCCAGAAAGCTGTTGCTCTGCTCATCAGAGAAAACTTTAGGTTATTTTCTAAAAAAAAAATAATAAAAAAATAAAAAAAATAAAAGGTTAACTATTGTTTTATTACACTTCAAAGGTTTGAGCATATTTGTTTTCATATTTCATATTTATATCACAACACTTCTATCTGTATTATAAACTTTTAAAATGTCACAAAACATCAAGGCACTGCTTTCCATAAAAATGGAAAGGGATTATCAATTTATTGAGGAAGCACTCGTTTTCCTAAAAATAATACAAAAACACTTTGAAAAATCACTGCCACCACATTAGTCGGAAGACTGCTGAAAGTTCATGTCACTAAGGCATCGGTGTTTTGGAAAGATCCCATTATATCCACCCCTTTAGGGCAGCAGAACAGGCTCTGACAGTGTTCCGCTCTCTTCAAAGGTTTCACAGTAAACTAGGAGGGCATTAAGAAGAATAGCAAAAGGGCTCTGGCTGCTCCTATGCCTCAGTCTAGAGGCAAACTGCTGCAGAGCCCACTACATGGCCCTGTCTGCTGCTAACTTGCATTAGACTTTTTGCTGTCACAAAGAGCCTGGATCATCGTATCTCACACCTCCTGTTTATCCCAATGAGCAGAGTTAATAATAGCTTCCCTAATGTTCATTTATGATCATGATAGCCAATTTTAGCTTCAGTTAATAAAAGGTGACAAAAGAAAAAAAAATACATGTTTGCACCAAAGGAATATAAAAAATATTCATTTTATCAGAAACATTAAATCTAATATTACCAATATCCCATAATATCTCAGGAGCTGAAGCAATTTTCTCTGGTAAAATCTGCACTCGATATCTCTGAAAGGGAACTAAAGCAATCTAGCACTTTCACATACCTAGCTCTAATCTAAACCTAGATTTGCACAGACAAGTGCAAAATCCATTAGCAATCAAAACAAAACAGCATATTAGATTGGTGGATATAAATGTTGACAAGGGAAGAAGCAGAAGAGGGGGGAATGAAGCGATGACAAGCAAAATGCCTTTCCAGAGTTCTCAGATATTATTATGGGCTGCAAAGAATTAAAGTAAATATGGTAGAAAGTGCAAAAACAGGCATGTGTGATGATGTTCATGTGAAAGACGCAGTACCAGACTAAGAAACAAACAAAAAAAAAAGGCAGCACTTGAGTAAATAAAGGTTGCCGGCAGCGTTTTTAGTCTGTCATATGAATTCCATCATGTGCTTCAAGCTAGAAAGCAAGCACTGCTCATACCTATGCTTTTATAGGCAAGCAGTGGGTGAGGAACGCTGCCTGTTCTCAGCCCAGGGAATCAGCTGGGGAATAGTGACTTAAGTGCGCCCTGAGTGAAGCCATCAATCTCCCTTCTCTCTGTCAGATACAGAAAGGTTGCTCAGCCTTTCCTTACCCTGAGTCAGACTGTGCACAAGGATTTTCTTCTAAGCTGCTTCTAGTTCCCTGTATAAATCCCATTTATGTAACCAGCGGATAAGAACATAGCTTACTGTAGTAACAGCTGCATGTGTCTAGTAACAAATAATAGGAGAGCAACAGGCACACTTTAGAAACATATTCAACACCTTTTATTATCTGGATCTCAGCACATTTGAACTTAATTAGGCAAATAAGAACTAGTGAATGAAAGAGAGAAAGACAGAAAAGGAGGGAAGAAGGAAAAAGGGGGAAAATAATAAAAAAAGTGAGCAACAAGGTCAATCTAAGAACAAATGCTACAGACAGATAATGTATCTTGATATCATGCACTGTAGACTTCAGTCAGTCATAATCAACCTGTTCAGACTGTTCTTGTACCAATGCTTCATTAAAATTCTGCAGTTCCCAGCTGCCAGAATCAGCTATCAACACAACAGCTTGTCAAAGAGTCTTCTGAGAAAGGGTTATGTTCTTCTTTTCCTTACAGAGATTCTGCTTTTAATGGGAGGCTTAGTTTTGTTTTTTCTACAGCACTAGAGTAACTGCTTTCCTGATTGCATTTTGTCTTCCTTGTCCTCAGTATATGCCACATCAACACCTGACTCAGCAGCCAGTTGTCCCAGAGTGGAGAAGTTGGCATGGGAAAAATCTTTCCCCTCTTGCTGTAGGATAGTAGGAATATTTGGCACACGTGTCTGCATTCCAGTTCCACTCAGTAAGCTAAGGACTGCAAAAAGCTTTGCAAACGAGCAAATTCAGTCTTAAAACATCCCTGCAGGATGATTGAGAAATATGATCCACTTTCAGACAAAGGAAACAACAGGCTACATAACCTATGACTTGTCCCATATCAGTGGCAGAGCTGGGATGTGGACTAATGTCCAAGTAAGCTGTGAGTTATGACTGAGATTTTTCAGTACATGTGTGTTTTAGAAGCTCGTGAAGTAGCAAATGCAGATAAATAGTACTGCTTCATACTTGAGTTAGGAGCACAGGTGGAGTACAGTGTTTGCTTTAGAGATTTGAATAGTCGCTGCTCTAACTTACCCTTAATGAATGTTAATTACATTGCTGTATTTGAATCAAATGACTTTGTGGTAGCATCAGTAAAATAATGAGCTATATAGGAATTATACTCTTATGAAATATCTGTGCTTAAAAGCTGCAAAAGTGTTAATTTTCTTATTTTATTAACAGCCATTTAACGATTTCCAAGCAGGATGGCAGGATAGTGGGCATCATCCCATCAAATGGTATTGCCTCACCAACTTCGACAGGCTATTGTCATTATCTTGTGAGCAAGATTCAGTATTTGAAGAAAAAACAAATAGTGACAGCTTTGTGAGAAGGTTCTGCTCTGACTTAGGATTTTTTTCTTTTTTTGCAGAGAAAGGAAAGACGCAGAAAGGCTCTCACTGAAAGGCTCAAGCTTATTCCCTGCTTTTAGGTCTAACTACTTGGTT